CTCAAAAGTTTATCTCTCTAAATCAGTTTTCTATCCTTAATGACTTCATGGCAATTTACATGTTTTTGCTGAGCAGCCCTGGGTATGAAACTTTGCTGTGATTTTCTTGAAAATCTAAGTTTAATTATACCCACAGTTTTCCTATTGTCTGTGTGTTTCCTTTCTTCTCCATGATCTTTGGTAATTAGTGAGGGATGGAGTCTCCTTATGGAAACTACCTTGTTTTCCCTCTACCCTGGCAAGTACATCAGCTTCACTCCATGCACAATTTGCTGCAAGATTTATCAGTTTCGAGACATGGAAAAGGGATACCTTGGCTCTGCAGTTGCTCAGGCAACTTCAGGTGTGGTCTTCTGAGTTCACATCTTGGACATGAATAAGGGAACTCCAGAGTTTGGAGCCCCAGCTGTGACTCTTCTAGGCTGAGTGGACCTTTTCGAGTCACTTAACTTCTTTGTGCCTCCAGTGTCTTAGGGAGTTGGTGTCTTTCTTACTCAAAGGGAGACTCTGGATGTGAAAGTGCTTCTCAAACCACACAATGCTATCCTGTTGCATCAGGCTGAAGGTGAGGCAGGGCTGCTGTTGTGATTATTCTCTGGAAGACCACTAATAGCTCCTCCTCCTCAGGAGAGGTCCTCCCAGCAGCCTCTCTGGGGATTGGAGATGTGATTGTGGGTAATGCCCCCAGTGTCAGGGCAGCAATGGGATGAAGGTGGAGTGGCTGACCTCAGCTACATTTGCACCTTTCTTGTTGATATCCATTAGTGAACGAGTGCTCTGCTCTGCCTGGGTTGTGGGAAGCTGTTTCACCTGTCCATGCTCCATCTGTGAAGCATCAAAACTGAGACTGATTTTGCATATTCATCTCTGAATCTTAGTGTCTTGCCAGTACCTACTCTATGGTGATTGCTCAGGGATCCCTGATGAATGAATGAACGAACAAGTGCTAGCATATGATGAAAAACATTGAGATTGCAAAACACTCCTGATGATCAGCTCAGCCCTACCAGTGGGCAAAGCCCAGTCAGCCAGATGTGCTGGGTACCTGTGACAGAAGATAACGCTGCCACCCTGGCACAGGGGCTGTCTCAGTCTCTCACTCTCTTCCTCTAGTGCTCCTTTCAGCTGCTGTGTATGGAAGTTTCTGGTTGGATGCGGTTACAGTAGGAAGCTGGGTGCAAGGGGTAGGGGAGGGGTGTTGCAGCTTTGAGCCTTGTTTACCAACTTCTCTGCTGCGGTCATGATGCTTAGTCAGAATGGCAGGCTTGGCGGTGGAGCTGAGCACGTCACAGGGGGATTGGCACAGTGGCTCTGCTCGAGGCTCTTCTTTCCTGTCTCTGGGGTTTTGAGGCAGGCTTAGGCCTGTTCCTCTTTCACCCTCAGCCCCTGATTCTTGGGATGAAAACAGTTTGGTCACACCTCTGATAGGGTTGGGCATACTTTTTGATTGGACTTGGTGAACCTTGCTTTCAGTGTCACATAGATCAGGAGCTAATGCAAGAGGATTCAGTCTCGAATCATTCATCATTCATTCATTCATTCATTCACTCACACAGTTACCAAGTGCCTCATCTTTGCTAGGCCTGTGCTATGTTTGGAGCTAAAAGACATAGACCTGTCCCCAAGAAGCTCACAGTCTTCTGGCAAAAGATGTATCAAATGAGGCATTTTAGGTTTGGGAAACTCATGGCTTGGGGAATCCCTGGGAACTTGAAGTGTTTAATTAGGGCTGAGGTTTTCATTTGAGCAAGGCTGAAGGCTATAGGTAGAAGAGGTGCCTGAGAAATCTAATTTTCAGGTCTGGAAGCATTTGACTCCTGCCATCCTAGACTTGTTCTGGGACTTTGGGAAGCTTGTCCCAAGGCCTGTTTATGGTGTGTTTTTCTCATTTCTCCCCTGTAAGTCCTCTTCTCATCTCCCACACGCAGCACCCCCACCAGTTCATTCAATCTCAGCCCTCTCTAACGCCTAAAGCCTAGGTCCTCCACTCCCTATCTTGTATCTAGCACACATCTCCGTTACTGGTCAGACCTGTATTGTACGATGAATGAGTGTCTGTCCCTCCCTACCTGCCACCCCTCTCGCCTTCACATCCCTGGAGAGCGGGACCTAGGTGGGGTTTCTCTCACTCCTGTGTGCATCTCGAGTGCCTGGCACAAACAGGCATGCCACCCTTTTGTGCAGTGAGTGAACAGAGTTGGGCTTCTGCTGTCCTGCCTGGTGGGGAGATGGCCTCAGCCAAATTCTGGGGGTGGTGCAGCATGGTAGCTGCTGAGCTCCAGGGCACAGTGGGGACCCTGAACTTGGGCTTGAGAAAGGGCTTTGTGTGATCACCACAGGGGGACCAGCCCTCAGCCTGTGGCCTCTGTTCCCTGGGTGCTTTGTTCCACATAGCAGGCTGGCCCTTGTCCTCACACTGCCACTCTGTCTTGTGATCCCTCCCTGCCTTCTCTGACTGGAGAGAGCTGGCTCATCCTTCATGATCCAGTGCAAAGATTTTTCTCTTGTGGGAAAACTTCCTCAGCTTCCTCAGCTGCCTTTTCAGTGCTGGAGGCCCCTTGTGGTTGCCTCTGGATTCTATTTGTCACACTCTGTTTTGAGCACCTCTAGGGCAGAATCTAGACCAGTCATGGTGAACTTTTTAGAGCTTTCAATAACAAACAGCCCTCTGTGGCACGCATGCCATAGGTTTGCCACCAATGACCTAGACTCTTCCTCCCCCATCAAGAGCTGGCCAATGGCAGGGGCTGATTATATAAATAGTAGCTGGGGGCTGGAGCTTTTTGGGGGTAACAATGACATCAGGTCCCGGCAGTCAGGTGGAAAGAGGAGAGCAGGCAGGGAGAGAAGTTTCCTTTCCTCTCTCCCTAGGGCCTTTCCATTGCCCCATTCTCGGTTTGCCACTCAGAGCCCAGGATGGCGCCACCAGGCCTGTGGGCTCCTGGGCTCTCTGCCTCCATCTGAAGGGGACCCTCCCAGGCCCCCACTGCCAGCAGCCTGGCTCACTGACTTGCCACATTCCTTAAACCCCAGACTAACCTAAGCAAATCCCTGGTTTACACCAGCCAGCAAGGAAAGGAAGAGGCAGTGGAGAGGTCTCCTCCGGGGTAGCTGGAAGGTGAGGTTTGACATGTTAACACCCTTCTTTTTTACTTTGGTGTTAACACTCTTCTGAGCCTTGTGGAATGTTTGGGCCCTCCTACATAGTAATGCATTAAGGCCAGGATGCCTAGTCATGGGTACCTGTTTTCTCTCCAGGCATCAGCTACCAAGTGAATATGAAAGGTTACCTTCCCCTTAGGACTAGACCTGGGCCCTGGCCTCTGCTCTGGACCCATTCACAGCTCCAGCTCTCCCTGGGCATACCCAGTGAGTGAATAGGTTCAAGAATGATTGTTAAGAGGTAGAGTAGCTCCAGGCAGGACTCAGACTCTGTGCCAGGGAGGGGCCTGCAGGTAAGGGAGAAGGTAGGGAGGGGAGGGGCAGGCAGACTGATGCTGGCCCTGAGTTACCCCATCCTCTCCCCAGGGCTGGGAGCCATGAGTATACCGGGCTCATTAGTGGGAACGCACAGGGTTATTAGACACGGTGCATTAGTGGCTAGCTCAGGGCCAGAAGCTCCCTCAATCCTCTTCCTGAGACTGTAAAGGCTGCTGCTTTGCCTTTGGGGCCCCAGGCCTGACCCCTCCACTGTAGTGTGCCCTCATGCCTTCCCTCTCTCATACAGCAATGCCCAACCCCATCCCTGTGTGACAAAAGGTTAGATGTGACACTCAGCTGTTATTTCCTGGAGTGGATTCCTCTATAGTCACAAAGTCTTTCATTTGTACAGTTTCCTGGTTTACCCAGATTTCACACATATTAGCCCACTCAGCATCTTCACTCACCCTGTGCGTGTGCCTGGGGACTGTCACGGATCACACAATGCTTTCATTTTACAGAGGGAGAAAATGAGTCTCAGAAAGATTGTAGTCTCAAGACAGCATAGCTGGCCTTGTTGTCTTTGATTCTATGGTTTTTGCTCCCATAATCTGTCCCAGAAACTGCTCTCTTGTCTGCTACTCCCTCAGAAGGGACATAGGTGTCCTCAGTGCCACCCAGTAACAGCTCCGACTGGCACTTCTCCCCCCCTCACCGTGAGCCCCAGAGGATAGCGCCTCTCTGTGCTCCTGGAATGTACAGCAAGCAGCTGATGCTTTGGTCCGGGATGTTCCAGCAGAAAGCAGGAAGCCCCTCTCTCTCTCTGCCCTTGCCAGAACTTTTTCCATCATAGGGTGATGGGAAGTGCTTGGGCAGAGGGTCAGAAGATGGTCATGTGAGGGCCCAGTGGTTCACATCCTTTGCCCCTGTACAGCTCCTTCCCTCCCCTCCCCTCTCCTCCCCTTGCTTCCCTTCCTTTTAGCTTTCAATGTGGGCATGTGCTGCAACTTGGCCAAGGAAGGAGGATGAAGACCTTCTGGTCTCACCTCAGACCCAGCTATTCTCTCTTCCCCTCCCTGGACCTCACTTGTCCTGCTTGAAAGGTAGAGTTGATTCTCTGTGCCTGAAACAGCGAAGATGGTCTAGGTACTCAGAGGAGGAGGACGGAGAGAGGAGAGCAACAAAAATGATCTATTAGAAGATCTCCACAAATACCCTAGGTCATTTTGGAATCTCTGCACTGTTTTCTTTAAAAAGAAGAGGAATCATTTTCCCTAGTGAGTAACAAACATGGAAGCAGCTCTGCCCTTGAAACAATGACTCCAACCTCTAGCCAACAGACCAGGCCTGTGCAGACGGACAGGCAGGATTTTCGGGGGAGTCATCAGAAGGGACAGCCCTGGCTTCTGCGGCCAGGTTCTTTGGTGGGTGATGGAGGGAGAGAGGAGGCCAGACATGTAAGGGGCTGGGTGTGCTGGTAGTTACTGAATTCAAGACAATGGCCCCTCAGCCTGCTTACAAGGCCCTTTATAGGGAGCATACCCTCCCCTAGCCTTCACAGCTGGGGTGCCCACACTCACCATGCTGGCTCTGTGGCCGTCCAGTTTTCCCACAACCTGGAGCTGAGATCGACAACCAAAGGCCGGAGGAGGAGGGCCTCCAGGGATGGCCCTGCTGGTCAGCTGGGCAGCACTGGCTGAAGGTCTAAGTTCGGGGCCAGCCTCGGTCCCTCATGGCCAGTATCCTCTCCCTTAGGCTAGCTGGCTGCTCTGCTATTCAGGAGTGATTTGGGGACTGTGGGGCTGGTCATTAAAACAGTCCTACAAGTGAAGTTGCCAAACTGGAATGATTATGGATCTTGTAACCTGATACCTATCTTAGGGGCAGGAACAACACCTTGGAGTCATTCACAAGCCCTTTGGCCTCCTTGGAACAGGTGACACACCTAAATTGTTACAAAAGCCTTCCTGCCTGAAGGGCTTCCGCCCAGCCGGCTTGACGGAAGACTCTCCTGGTTGCGTGACTTCTCATTGTATGGGTGCTTTTGTTTGGGGTTGCAGAAAGTTGGAGGAGTCTGGGGTTGGGGTGGCAGAATTTTCTGCTCCACAGAATGGGATTGTTGCCATGTGTGGAGTAACAGGATTGGAAAATTCACGGAAAAGGAGAGAGTTTCTTCCCTTAAGGGTACTCTACCCCTTTCCCCGGACTCCAGAAACCGGGCTGTACAGTACAGGACTAATATACAGTGTACTGGCCAGCGTCTCCTCCCAGGGCCTCACTTTGGTTGTTACAGTTTTGTTTTTTTTTTTTGGTAGCAGGGATTGAACTCGGGTCCTTGTGCTTGCGCTGCAGACGGCAAAACCACTGAGCTAAATCCCGGCCTGCTTGTTACAGTTTTTATACAGGCTTGCTCTGAGGTGGGCTGGAAGCCTCCTGATTACACAGGGCCTCAGCTCTTCCCCCAGGGCAGTGAGCATTACAGCTGCAAGTGTGGGGCAGTGCTGAGAGCCTGTGAGGTCAGAACAGATGACTTCAGGGAACAGGCTCAGGGAGGCCCCTCCCTTTTAAGGATGACTTCAGCAGTAGGGTGGGGAGAGGCCAGTGGGCTACTCTGGGCCAGGCTTTCCCTTACCTTACTTCCTCTAGGTGCCAGAATAATTATCTGGCCCACAGGTTCCCATTTACTCACTTGGTGCTCAGGTGAACCATGAAAGAGGTGGCTGCCTGGGCAGGATGGCTGCTGGGTGGGACTGGTTGGAAGGATGATTTCTCAGCTGTCCTCTCTCCAGCTCTGGCCCCAGACCCCTGTTGAGTCTGAGAAGGAAGCATGTGGGCAGGCTGGGCAGGCTGCTGGGATACCCAGGGAAAGGGGCTGCAAGGTTTGGGTAGAGAGGCTATGAGGGCAGAGAGCAGAGGTCAGCTTCTTCCAGGTGCCAGGTGTAAGCAGCCAGACCAGAACCCCGATTCGTTGCGAGGAAGCCTCAGCTCCCCCAGCCCTAACATGCACTGCCTCTCTCTAGTTTACTCATTCTGCTTCCTGTTTTTCTTCCTCTTTCTTTCCTTTGAATCCTCTTTTTCCAACAATTTTTCCTCTTCTACCTTTCTTCTGTTTCCAGCAGATGGTCAAGGTCAGGGGCAGAGTTACCATGAATCGCAAGCTTTAGAGCCCCTCACTTGCCTGGCTGTAGGGAAGGTCCCAGCAGAATGCTGTCATAGTTGTATGTTTTTGTAAAGTTTGCAGAAGTTTTTGGTATACCTTTTGTAGGAAGGCTCCTTAACATATATGTTTCAGATCTCACGCAGCCTGGATCACCCTTGGTAAGAGCATGGGTTCTGGTAGCCTGAAGTCCTGTGTCCTAATCTTAACTATTAATTATTTGTGTGACTGTGGACATTTTATTTAATCATTCTGAGCTCCATTTTTCTCATTTATAAAGAGAATAATAATAGTAATGACCTTTGTTATGAAAGTTAAATGAGCTAATTTGTGTGACCTGTTTGGCGCCTAAAAGAGGTTTTGTGAATGGAGCTGTTATTCTTATTTATTCTTCAAAATGTGTGTTTATTGAGCTCATTCTAGAGTTCACTTTTGTGCTAAGTGCTGAGGATTAGGCAAGAAAAGACACAGACCCTGGCTACACATGCCTTGTAGTCTACTGGAGGAGATAAGATGCATCGGTAAGTCATGCTAAGTTTTCATCTCTTACTGTCCTCTCCCTCTCTCCCTGCTTTCCTTCCTTCCCTTTGCCTTCATTTTTACCTTAGGACATTTTTACTTAGATATGCAATTTATAGGATTGTATATTAATTGCCAGCTGTTTCAGATTATGCCTTTGATATTTGTTTGTTTTTGAGACAGAATCTTGTTATGTTCCATAATGAGTTTGGATGGCCTCTAACTAGCTAAGTAGGCCAGGCTGGCCTTGAATTCATGATCCTCCTGCTCCAAGTTCCCAGAAGATTGGGATTACTGGTGTGTACCACCATGACCAGTTTGATATTAATATCAGAAGTCACCCACTTTCCCATCCATATATACCTGCCCATCCATCCATCTATCCATCCACCCCCCCCCCCATCCACCCAATAGGTATTTTCTATGGTGTTATCAGACAGTGTGGCTAGACACTGGTTGGAGAAAGTGAAAAAGCTCCTGCCTTCAGTCCTCCCTTGTACTGCTCTTCCCCTGTTAAACCAGGACCTTCTGGTGCAGCAAGCCTTCTAGGTCCTCCTGCTCAAGGCATGTCCAAAGCCTGTCACCTGGGAGCTTGTTAGAAATGCAGAATCTCGGCTCTCCAACAATCCACAATTGGGATCTGCATGACAAGATCTCCAGGCAAGGAGGCACATGCCCCTTACAGCTTGAGAACACTGCTCCAGGTCTCTTCCCATGCTCAGGAGCAGGTAGAGGCTGTCATTTTCTAGAGCTGAAATCAGAGTGGGAGATTAATATAGACAAACCTGTAGGGATCCTTCCAGCCAGCAGAACCTATGGTTCCTCTCTCTGAACCCAAGTACAGTAACTTGAGATCCAGTTCAGAGATAGGCATTTTGATTCCAGCTCTGTCCAAGGGATTAGAGAGACAGAGGTACAGGGGTTGGGCAGGAGCTAGCAGTACCAGGATCTCCCGTGCTAAGCAGCTCTGGAAAGCAGTGTACCGAACACAGTGGCCCTCCCATGGGGACAGCAAGAAGTACTCCACTCCCTGTGAAGGGGAGCATGTGTGGCTGTCAGGTCCCCAACTTTCAGGAGAGGATTTTCACTGCCTAGAGACTCTTCTCACAAAACGTATTTTGGGCCAGAGGCTGTCAAATGGAGCATCAAACGTGTGTAGCAAAGAAGAATGGGGGACACTGAGAGGGTTAAACCCTGACCCATTCCCAGTCACTTTGGTGGCTGGGCACTGACCTTCCTCTCGTGGCCCCTGCCAGGTGAGCAGAGTTCCCTTCCACATGTGCATAGCATAAGGCTTGGGATGGGGACAAGGGAGGTAGGTGTAAGCCCGGTGGAATGACGGCACATTCACTTCAAATACACTACAAACAGTAAACAGCAGCTCACATGTTCTGTGTACTCCCATGGGCCAGGCTCCTAGGCTGTGTAAAGATGTCACAGTGATTCAGTCTATCCTCCCAGCCACCTGGGATGTGGGTGCTGCGGTTACCTCTGTTTCTCAAAGGAGGAAATTGAGGCATAGACAAGGTTGGGATCTGGGTCTATGCAACCTAGGGTTCCCAGGCCTTTTTCCCACTGCATCAGCACAGATGGGCCCTGCATGAACGGTGGAGAGGGTCTGCGATGGCCTTGACAATCCTCCAGGGACCTCTGAGATTCCACCTGGAGCACCAGCCCCCTGTGTGGGCCTGCCTGAGTCCCAGGGGATGGTTTCCACCTTGCTGTGCAATTTGGTAGCAGTCTTGGTGAAAGACTTTTCATTAGCTCTCTTCCCCCAATTTAGGTGAGGAACAAATTTCAGATAATTTCTGAATGCAGCCCCCCCTCACCCCCTCCTGTACTGGGGAGTCAAACTCAGGACCTTTTGCTGGTGAGACAGGCATGGCCCCACTGAGCTAATCCGCGCCCCCTTCCCTCTGTCTCTGATGATGGTGCCTGCGATTGAACCTAGGGTCTCATGCGTGTCAGGCAATCACTACCACGCTGAGCTACTTTTTTTCCATTTGTCTCTCAAGAATATCCTTAATTTCACCCCTAGCAACCCCACGCATAAAAGACACAGGAAGGACAATTTTGCTGGGGTATTCTACTCTAATCACAACTGTGCTACGGATTTGAGATGATAAACAAATGATACTTTGATACTTTTTGGAAAAAAGAATGTGGCTAGAAAGTAAATAGTATAAACTTACTGTATTACATTTATTTTCTCATGACCCAATAACAAATAACATGGAATAACCCTCATATACAGCTTAAATCTAAACTATCACTGCTTTGCCACCTGCTAGCTGTCTCACGTTGGCCATGTTACTCAATATTTCTATGTCTCATTTTCCTCATCTGTAAAATGGAAACAATAACAGGACTGCTGTGATGATTAAAGTGCTTACAGTGGTATCTGGCACACAGTAAGTCACACACACAGACACACACACAGAGTTTTAGCTACTTGTTTGTTGCTGAGACACTACACTTGACACCCACAACTGTAAGGAGGAAAAGTTTATTTTGGCTCACAGTTTGTAGAGGTTTCAGTCCATAGTTGGCTGGCTCCAGGGCAGGGCAGCATGGCAGAGGAGAAACAGCTCATGGCATGGCAGCAGACGCAGAAAGGATCAAGAGATGAGAGAGGAAGATAGGCTCTGCCAGGCCATGTCCCCAGGGACCCACTTCCTCCACATTTAGCTATAATCTCATCAGTTGACTAATCCATTGATGGGTATCACACCCCCATGATCCAATCACCTCCACCAAACCCCACCTCTGAGTACATGAGGCTTTGGGGGACATCTAGATATAAATCATAACACGCACAATTGGTGAAGTAAAATGATTATTATTTCAGTTAAAGGTTAAATGAATCATTCTTGTCAAGATGGATTTTTAAGTTATTATATAGTAGTACTATATATTCCATATTGTCATTAATTCTCTGTTGCTTCATCAAAAGCTCATGCTTTTATTCAGGTTCTAAGTCCTCTGCCAGCTGTGTGGGCAGGGGCAGGACTCCTTCTTTGACTTTAGTTACCTGGATGGTTAACAGCTGGACATCCTACCCTAATGTGGGGTTGTGGGATATGACATATTCTCACTGGGATGAAGCTAGAGGGAGAACATGTGTTAGGCCATGACCCACTTACCAGAGCACTGGCAGGT